CAGATCATAAGCAATGGCACAAGCCCTTATCTTGCAAGTTCCTTCTGCTCCTTCCTCTATGCATGAATGGAGGAAATTTGAAGGTTCTGCTTCTGGGTTGCACCAAACCGATGCTTCTTGCATTTGGATGCAATGGGAAACAATGGTTTATCTCAGGGGTGGGGGACATTTTTCAATCCAGGGGTGTCACATTCCCTTCTGAACAAATGTTAGGGACTGCATACCAGTGGTGGGCTGGGCCAGAGGCAAAAGCAGCCCCCAACCTTCCCTTAAAGGTAAAGAGACCCCTGACCATTAGGTCCAGTCGTGGCCAACCCTGGGGTTGCGGCGCTCATCTCACTTTACTGGCCAAGGGAGCCGGCGTACAGCTTCTGGGTCATGTGGCCAGCATGACTAAGCCACTTCTGGCGAACCAGAAACACCATTTACCTTCCCGCCGGAGTGGTACCTATTTATCTACTTGCACTTTGATGTGCTTTCGAACTGCTAGGTTGGCAGGAGCTGGGACAGACCAATGGGAGCTCACCCCGTCGCGGGCATTCGAACCACCGACCTTCTGATCGGCAAGTCCTAGGCTCTGTGGTTTAACCCACAGCACCACCCACGTCCCTCAACCTTCCCTTAGGCACAGATAATTAGATAGAGGTCTGAAAGCAAAAGGCGAAGATCTACCGTAATTCCAATATGGGGAATGTTTTGCCCTCTAGTTGTTGCTGAACTACAACCTGCATCAGCCCTGACCATTGGCCGTGCTTCTTGGGGCTGATGGGAGTTGTGGTTCAGCAACATCCAGAGGGCCAAAGGCTGCCCACTTCCATGCAAGTTGCCAATAGCCCAGTTTTGTTTTGGCTCAGAGGTGGGCATGGATTTCAGGAAGTACATACTCCTACAGTATTTGATTTCCTGCTTCTGTTCTGGCTTGCAGGGGAATATGTCACAGAGGAAATGGATTTTGGAGATAGGGAACCCGGGTGGTCAGAATTAGGGAACTGAAATCAGTGGTGTGTGGGGGCAATATTTGAGTCTGGACTCAATGCTCTTACAGGGAGCAGCAAGGAGACTCTTTATGGTAATGTGTGTTGCTTTGTGTACTTCAAAATGTGATAAGCCAGCTCTGCTGCATTGGGGGGGGGCTTCTTCTTGTTATGCTAAGTGGGGCCCCTGGGCATCTGCCCTAAAGTCCAGTCCTGATGGCGCCACTGACTGCAATAGAGTTAAAGAAACACATGTATAAAGTCTTGTACCAAACATGTTTCACACACATCTGTTCCTTCTCTTTCTCCCTATCCCCAGCAGGGGAAAAAATAGCAGCAGATGAAATATACTCGGAGTCGAGTGTGAATTTCATGCTCTTTATTCAGCTCGTAGTAGCAATGAATGAAACTTTCCCCAAAACGTCTAGCTATATATACATTATTTATACAATGGGCCCCACGTGATTGGCTAATTCCGGGCTGCTCCTGTAGGCCAATCAGGTTGCGGATTCACTTCCTCCAGAAGCCTGATTGGCTGCTCCTGCAGGCCAATCAGGTTGCGGATTCACTTCCCCAGAAGCCTGATTGGCTGCTGCTGCAGGCCAATAAGGTCGCTGATTCACTTCCACCTGGAGCTGGATTGGGTGGCTCCTGCGGACCAATCAGACTGCTGCATTCTGGATCCTATTGTTCTAGGATTCAGCTCAGTACATAACAGTAGAGAACTAGAGAAATGTGTTGGGCAGAGCCTGTCACTATTTTGCAATGGGATTGAATATCACCAAATTAAGGATTGCACAGTTGAAGCTGATACGTATGACACAAACACAAAGACACAGAGACAGAGACAGGCACACACACACACACACACACACACACACAGCACATGGCTTCCCCCTAAGAATCCTGTGTACTGTAATTTACTCCACATTGAGCGACAATTCCCAGCACCTGTAACAAACTACAGTTCACAGGCTTCTTTGGTGAAAGTAATGTGTTTTAAATTTGTGTTGCATGTGATTTAAATGTATGGTGTGGTCCACAATAGCTTTTACTACACTGTTTTAAAAGTAAAGTCTTCCTTTCTCTGTTTAATTAAACACAACATTGGACAAAAAAGTGTATATACTAATGCCGTTAGCCTTTAACACAGGAGCATTTTATAAATACAATGCAACCAGCCATGTTCCCCACCTCCTATTGTCTTCTGATTTCCTGTAGGAGCAGTAGATTATGCCACACTGAGCTACAATTCCCAGCACCTGTAACAACCTGCAGTTCCCAAGCTTCTTTAAGAGAAGCCATGTGCAAGGCCAGTGTACCCCCTAAATCCCAGCTGCTGGTGTCAGACATTAAAGGGTTCTTTGTGCATTAGGAGTGTCCCGGGGCACCAGGCCTGCTTGGAAAGAGGATGCTGGGGGAAATCCCTGCATTGGAGTGGGTTGGACTAGATGACCTTTGGGTTCCTTTCCAGCTCTGAAATTCTATGACTCCATGTGCTTTAAAGGTACGGAGTAATGTGACCTAGGGTCTACATATAGTCACTCCTCTCTAGTCTCTGTCCAGACAAGCAAGAGGCATGATCACAGTTGAAGGACACATCCCAATCAGGCAAAAATACTCAAGGAGGGTGCAAGGTAGGGCCAGTGAGAGATGTGGTCTTCCATGGAGGAGGGGTGGGATGTAACTAACGTTTGTGTTTGTGTTTGTGTTCTTTTTAAATAAAGCAGAAAACTAGTCAATGGGAAACCATAATGCGGCATGGGCAGGCGGGGGGGGGGAAGAGTGCTCTTGTTGCCTCAACCCCCAATCCTTTAAGGTTTGTTTAATGTTATTTATAGTAGAATAAAACACCTTTTTAGAAATAGGAAGAAAAGAAAAGAAAACCAGCCTTTTGTCTTTGGGAGTGTATTTACATCATTCAGTTCAGTGGACACAGTGTCCATGTGTCATAGACCAGCTAGACTCAGAGGAATGGTGGGAGAAAACAGCTGGGGAATCCCCAAGAGAAAAAGGCACCCATGGATTGGTGGTGGAATGATGATGAGTGGTTAGAGGGGGGAGCCCGGGAGGAGGTGTCGGAAGATGAAGGGTCTGTAGCAGAGAGAAGTCCCGAATCAGAAGCGGAGGAGGAAGCTGGAGAGGAGGGAGACCAAGAGGCAGAGATGAGTCAGGCTGGTGAAGAAGCCAGGAGGGTCTCCCTCTCCTGTTGCAACAAGCTCTCTTCCCACCTTGGTCTCCCAGCACTGGGAAAGGTATGAAGCAAGAGGAGCAGGTGCACCAGTGTAGTCTCAGATTGTTTGGGAAGGACTGGGAGGACAAGGAGACTTAGCCATGGGAAGGCAGGGTCCTTTTGTCTCCACAACTGCCTCACAGGGGCAAGACCTATCGTGAAAAGTTGCTGTGTTCATTAGGCCTGCCTCCCCGAGAAGACTGTTTCTTTTAATAACGAGTTAACTTCACTTACTTTGTGTGATTTATTTCTGGCTGGCTCCCTGACAATGTGCCTGTTTTCACACCTGGATGATGATGATAATAATAATTTATTATTTATACCCTGCCCATATGGCTGGGTTTCCTCAGCCACTCTGGGCGGCTTCCAACAGAATATTGAAATACAATAGTCTATTAAACATTAAAAGCTTCCCTAAACAGGGCTGCCTTCAGATGGCTTCTAGAAGACTGGTAGTTGTTTTTCTCTTTGACATCTGGTGGGAGGGCGTTCCACAGGGCGGGTGCCACTACCAAAAAAGCCCTCTGCCTGGTTCCCTGTAGCTTGGCTTCTCGCAGTGAGGGAACCGCTAGAAGGCCACCAGCGCTGGACCTCAGTGTCTGGGCAGAACGATGGGGGTGGAGACACTCCATCAGGTATACTGGACTGAGGCCATTTAGGGTAATGGGTTTCCTCAGCCATTCTGGGCAGCTTACAGCATATCTAAAAACATAATAAAAACATCAATCCTTTAAAAACTTCCCAAAACAGGACTGCCTTCAGACGTCTTCTAAAAGTCAAATATTTATTTCCTTGAGATCTGAAGGGAGGGTGTTCAACGGGGCAGGTGCCACTACCGAGAAGGCCCTCTGCCTGGTTCCCTGTCACTTGGCTTCTCAAAGCAAGGGAACCGCCAGAAGGCCCTTGGTGCTGGACCTCAGTGTCTGGGCAGAACAATGGTTCTTCTTCATCATCATCATCCCACCCCACACCCTAAAGCCTGAACCTTTTATAAGCCTCTATAGGAAACTCACAAGCAAGACCTGAGCACAAGAGCCTTCTTTCCTCCTGTGGTCTCTAGCAATTGGCAATTGGAAGCACTGCTGCTTCTGGCTGTGCAGGCAGAGCATAGCCATCATGGCTCGTATGTTGCACACTTAGAGCCCATTGGGAGCTCTCACATGGCAAACCCACTCCCCCTCGAAATTAGAAAATGCAATGCAAAGTCGGGAATAACATTTGCTTTGACACAGCTTCATCTAGCCTCTGTGCAAACAAATGTGAATGCATGCTCCAAAAATGGCAATTGTTATCAAATCTGAGCTGTTGCGCACAGGTCCCGCTTTGCAGGCTTGGCATTCGGACATCTGGCTAGCCACTGTGAGAACAGGCTGTTGGGCTAGATGGGCCACTGGCCTGATCCAGCAGGGCTCTTCTTAGATTTTTCTGCACACAAATCAGGACGAATGCTCAATAAACAAGTGTTCTAATTGAAGTGCCCTAGTTTTAAAGACGCTCTCAGATTTCTCCAGCATTTGAAGGACCAGATAATTTCTGAGCACACCGCAAAGGTCATGAAATGAACAACAGGTTCCACCTTTAGGGGTTGTTTCCTGTTGTCTGAGGACATATTAGAAGACCTTAAAAGGAAATGTACCTTCACCTACAAAATACAAAAGGGGGTGGGGGGACACACAGCACAACACAACTACACAACAGAAAGGACACAGTTGAACCATATCTTCTAGGAAGTGGCAGGGAACTGAAAACCTGTCTTTTGTTTCTCCTCTTTTCTTCCTGGAAAAGCAGTCGTGTGGACATCTCTTCCAAAGCATCTGGAGCCACCTGCCTCCATCACGTAATGAACACCACCAACGTGACACAATGCCTGCCGTGGGAGCTCCACTTTTCCATCCCAATCCTTTGGGGCATCCTCTCAGTAGGCGGGTTGGTCTTCAACAGCATCAGCCTCTGGATCTTCTGGTTTGCCATTAAGCACTGGAATTCTGGCATCATGCTTCAGTTCAACCTGGCCTTGGTAGACATCATTGTCCTTCCGGTCATGCCATTGATGGTGGCCTATTTCAGCTTGGGAAACCACTGGCCCTTTGGGCAGTTTGTCTGCCAGCTTCAAGTCTTCCTGCTCAGCACCCACCTGTATGGAAGCATCTACTTCCTCATGCTCATCAGCATCCACAGGTACCAAGCCATTGTCCACTACAACGCCAAGACCTTCTGGAGGAAGAAGTCTGCCTTGAAAAAGCTGGTCTTGGTCTTCTGGGCTTTCCTCTTCCTGCAGGGACTTCCACTCTTCTTCTTCCTCAAGACTTCAGTCATCGGCAACTCAGTCAAGTGCCTGAGCATCTACCAGTCAGAGCTGGCTTACCTCTATCTAACATACAGAATCTTCCTGGGGATCTTCTGCTTCCTCATTCCCTTTGGCATCTCTCTGGTGTCCTACGTGATGTTGGGAGCCTACATTGCTAAAATCAGTCAAGCCAATCTCCGAGGCAAGGTGATGAAGACCAAGTCCAAGCAGATGATCACCATCACTCTGGTCATCTTTGGCATCTGCTTCACGCCCCTCCACATCTGCCAGACAGTGGGTTTGATTGTGAGATATTACTGGACATCCTGTGGGCTTCGGTACCGTGTAGAAATAGCTTATTATGTCTCCTTAGTTTTCAGCATGGTCAACTGTTGCTTGGATCCCTTCATCTACAACTTTTCCAATGAGAAATTTTACAAGTCTTTCTCTGTCTCCCTGTGAAGATTGTTCTTTGCCAAGTGTAAGAAAGAAGTCCCTCAGAGTAGAGATTAGAGACTATGAGAAGCAATGTTCAGTCAAGCATCAAGGTAGGGCTGAGATCGAAGCAAGAATCTCTGGAGGGTGAATCCTCACATTTTGTCTCTTTGTGGAGCTCCAGTTTGGATTAGGAAAGAAATATCTGTCCAAATTGAGGTACAACCACAAAAATATTTTTCTAGGTAATCTTTGTCCTGAGAAACAATCCTGCAATCTTCATTAATTTTGGCAAATGGTTGTTTGTTTGGTTTATTAAACCAGGTCTGTCTAATGGTCCATCTATTGCAACTGCTCTCTGGAGTTTCAGATAGGAGCCTTTCCCAAGCAATGTTGGGGATTGGACCAGGGAGCCTCTGCATGCAAAGCAGATGTTCTCTCCCACCTCTTCCCTTGCCCTACTCTTGCTTGCATAATGCGCTCTGCAGCTGCCCTACCTTACATTTTGCGTCTGCTAATTGTGCAGACAGGCTAATGACAGGAATTGCTTGTTCAGCTTTTTTTCTGCTTTGCAATATTTCTCTCCTGCAGCCCCAGCAGCCATGAAGGAATTGGACTTCACTGTACTCTTTGCATGGGCAGATGCATATTGTTGCATGCATGGACTTGCATGTCATACAAACATGTCTTTCTTGCTTGTGCATTGAGAATTGCAGGGATAGCTTGGAAAGCTACTGAATGCCCTGAGGCTCAGATGTCAAGGGAGGCATCTCAAGCAGGGCCAGTGCACCCATCAGGCAAGGTGAGGCAACAGCTTCAGGTGACAAAATGCACAGGGGCAACAGATCCGACCTTCAAGGATACATAGCAGCCACATCTGTGGTGTGCTACTTGGGGGCTGGGTGTACTGCCTCCTCGGCAGCTTTCTCCAGTGGCCTCTGATGGTCTTCTCCACCCCACCCCCCACCCAGAAGGAAATGGTGGGTCTGCCCTCTGAGGTCTCCTGGGCTCTGCATCTACCTGGCATGATTCTGAGTGGGTCCCTTCCCCTACCCCCCTACCCCCCTGACACCCTTTGATTCCACTTCAACCATCAGTTAAGGCTGATTTGATTCCACACACCTTGCCTTGTTCCTGATGTAGATCTTCACTCACCCCTTCTTCCCTGCGGGGTGGGGTGCCATTTTGTGGTTTGCCTTAGGTGCCAAAATGCATTGGGCCAGCCCTGGTGAAAAGTATGTGAGGGGTGGAATATCCTGCTCCAAACATCCAGGAACCTGGAAGGCAAGGGGTGGAGCATGAGGTTGACAAGGGGAGCCCATGTTAACCAGGAAGCCATCCTGGAGGAACTCAATGTGATAAGGAACAAGGGAAATAAAGGGTTGTTACTCAGGAGTAAGAATCTTCTGAGAGTCTGATATGTTATGGATTGTGGAAACCCAGTGAGGGTAGATTGCATTTTAATCTGCTTCATTTTGGGGGTTTTTTTGCTCCAAAGAGAATATCCTGGTTTTCTGTAACTTAAGCATTGCATATCTTTGTCTTAAAAGTCCTTCTTTCTGTTTTAGTAAACTTCAGAACTTGTTTCATAAACCTATTGTAATGGCTTCTTGTTTTAACATCAACACACTTAGACACTATGTACCTCACTACCTCGAGACTCCATGGGCCTAGGGGAATTTGGAGGCTGGTAGATAAAGGGCAGACTTGTGGGAATATTTGAGCCCCTTGCCTGTTGGCAGCTGTGAACTTTAAAGGGGGGGAGTGGGCCGAGAAAAGGGGTGCACTCTGTGTTAGCCACAAACACCCTTCCCTTGGATGGCAGGGGACCCAATGTGGCTGGGAGGTGGCCGGCACACACATTCTTAAAAAGGGGGGTTTTATTGGAAAATTCTGTAGTTTAACAAAAATACAAATATCATGGGGAAAGTAGTAGCAAGCAAAAACGGGTTACAGAATCAGATAGTGCATCTGTTGTAAAATAAATACATTAGAAGTGTTACGGAAAAATCTAGGTGCAAGGCTGCTCAGTCACCCAGCTCGACGGGCAGAGCCCCCGGGTCCCTGCGGAATAAAGGAAGGAGTCCAGCCACCAACCAGAGCAAATAGCTTGAAATATACTTGGAGTCGAGTGTGGATTTCATACTCTTTATTCAGCTCATAGTGCAAGGAATGGAAGTTCCCCCAAACTGTCTGCTTTATATACGTTATTTACACAATGGGCCCCACATGATTGGCTAATTCAGGGATTCTCCTGTAGGCCACCTGGATTCACTTCCACCTGGAGCTGGATTGGGTGGCTCCTGCGGACCAATCAGACTGCTGCATTCTGGATCCTATTGTTCTAGGACCAATCAGACTGCTGCATTTTGGATCCTATTCAACTCAGTACATAACATAGCTGTAGACCAAAGTTTATTGTGCAACAGGTTCAAAGAGGAATTTTGAACCCTGAGGATGGGGTGACAAGGACTTTTAAAACTTTCCCACCATATCCTAGAATACAGTTCATACAGCATCATTGCTACATCATTGCTACATCACTGACATGTCACAAAAGGGGAGGGGGTAGACAGGGGTTTCAATAGTTTAAGCTTGGCAAACATGTCCATACAAGTCCTTGGTACAAGATTAGCATAAGCAGACATGTCAGGGAAAGACCCAGGTATAAGATTAGCATAGGCAAATACCTCTGAAGTCCTACCACCCAAAGTACAATAGAACCTCCTCTGCATGTCTGGAGCCTGAGGCAAGTCTGGTGATGAGATTTGGCTTCCCTTGGAGAACAATGAGCCCAGCAATTGTCACCTCTGGGCGTTTCCTGGGGTAGGAGGTGTGTATACATGTCTTCAAGCTTGGGGAGGTGGCAGGGGAAAGAGTCCTTTTTCCAAGGGCAAAACGGTGTTGGAATGGAGGTGTTGATTTTATATGATTCATAAAGCTAGGTATAGTCTGTCAAGTCGAAAGGATACATTCATGCATAATATTTGTAACTGTTAACAACTTTAAAGATGTGCCCCCCTTCCGTAATTTCCGTAACAGTAGTGAGATGATTTCTTTGTAAGTTAAGTCCTTAAACTCAATTTTTAAAGTTATTTAGGACCAGTGATTACTGTCTAAAAATAATATTTGGTTTCCAAGAGCATAATGAGAACCAGCTGGATCAAGCTAAAAGGCCAACCTAGTCCTGCCTTCTGCTCTCACAGGGGCTGCCCAGATGCCTATGGAAAGTCTGAAATTAGGGCCTGAGTGCTAAATCACTCTCAATGTACGTAGTTCTCTCCCTCCTCATTTAATCCCCACAACATACCTTGTGAGGTGGGTTAAACAGAGTGAGAGTGACTGGCCCAAAGTCACTCAGTGAGGTTTATGACCAAGTGGGGCTTTGAACTCTAGTCTCCCAGAACCTAGTCTAACACTCTAGCCACTGCACCACACAGCCACCATGGCTAGCAGCCATTGATAGCCTTATCTTTATATAACCCTCTTATCTAAAGCCATACAAGCTGATGGCTATCATTGGCTCTTGAAGGAAGGAGTTCCACAGTTTAACTATGGGGTTCCATAGTTTAACTAATGTGTTTATCTGTTCTTATTTTATCTGTAAGATGCCTCGGGTCCCTGTTAGGGGAAAAGGTCTGCATGAATAAATATATTATAATAACTGCAGCCACTGGCGGAGGAAGAGGGGGCGTGGGGAGCGCACCGCCCCTGGAAGCATGATCCCGGTGGGGTTCCATTGCGGCCGCCCTGCGCCCACGCTGGGTGCCACACCCCCGCAGGCAACACACTCCACCCCCAGGACGCACATCAGCCCCGCCCCCACCTGCTCTCCGCCCCCAGTGCCGGAGCATGAAGCTCCGCCACTGACTGCAGCTGCATGAATAAGTACTGTCTTTTCCCCTCTCCTGAACCCTCTGACATTCAGCTTCACCACCTGTCCATGAGTTCTATCTAGCATTATGAGACTGAGCAAAACATTTCTCTATCCACTTTCTCCATGCCACGTGTAATTTAATAAACTTATACCGTGTCCCCTCTTGCTCATCTTTTCTCTAAACTGTTGTTGTTGTTGCTTAGTCATGTCCGACTCTTCGTGACCCCATGGACCTGAGCACGCCAGGCACTCCTGTCTTCCCCTGCCTCCCGCAGTTTGGTCAAACTCATGCTGGTAGCTTCGAGAACACTATCCAACCATCTCATCCTCTGTCATCCCCTTCTCCTTGTGCCCTCCATTTTCCCCAACATCAGGGTCTTTTCCAGGGAGTCTTCTCTTCTCATGAGGTGGCCAAAGTCTTGGAGCCTCAGGATCTGTCCTTCCAGTGAGCACTCAGGGCTGATTTCCTTCAGAATGGATGCGTTTGATCTTCTTGCAGTCCATGGGACTCTCAAGAGTCTCCTCCAGCACCATAATTCAAAAGCATTACTTCTTCGGCGATCCGCCTTCTTGATGGTCCAGCTCTCACTTCCATACATCACTTCTCTAAACTAAGAAGAAGCAAATGCTGCAAAATATCATTGGGTATATGACACACACACCCAATTCCAAGCAGATATTCACAGTCATGATGGCATACAAAGATGCTTCTCAAAAACTGAGATTCTCAGGGATTGAGATTATGTGTGCAAAATTGCAGTCCTCTCTCATTTTCTCTTCCTTCTTTCTCTCTCTCTCTTTTATTCACATTTCCATAGAATTACAGCACACACCGGCATTACAACCAAGAGGAATTTCTGCCACCCTCTGGTGTGAAACCATGGAAACTGGATTCTATATTGAGGGTGGAATCCTAAATACATTTGCAAGGGATTAAACTCCGTTGAACACAGTGAGGCTTTCTCCTGAGTAGGGTTCCCCAGGATTGGAGCACAAGCTTTCCTTCAAGGTGAATGGTTGTTTTTTTTAAATTGAGCATTCATGACACCGTGTGTCAATGATGATATCAAAGCTGTCACACATGTTCCTGCTTTCAGTACTGTGTGTACCTAGGAAAATATCAGAGGACATTCTGCTTCTTTTCCAGTTTTGAAATGTGCTGCAACTTCTTGCTGAAATCCTGGAACCTTTCGTGCCACAAATGGTCAGGGCTTTTTGTTATCTGTCTGCTTTTGTCGTGTTCTAACACAATACCGTATTTTTCACTCTATAGGATGCACCAGACCATAGGACGCACCTAGTTTTAGAGGGGGAGAACAAGTAAAAAAAATTCTCTCCCTCTCTGCACAGCGCCCCTTCAGCGAAGCAGAGAGGGAAAGCTGCGCAGCGCCTCTCCAGCAAAGCGAAGCCAGGAGAGCAAGAGGGATCGGTGTGCACCGATCCCTCTTGCTCTCCAGGCTTCAGCGAAAGCAGCGTGAAGCCTCGGAGCATGGTGGGAGCGCTCCCGCTGCACTTCGGAGGCTTCGTGTTGCTTTCGCTGAAGCCATGGAGCCTGCGTTCGCTCCATAAGACGCACACACATTTCCCCTTAATTTTTGGAGGGGGAAAAGTGTGTCTTATAGAGCGAAAAATACGGTAGTTCCTCTCTGCGGTAACAGTGCAGAAGCATCACAGAACGACTAATAAAACAGTATGATGTACTGTATAACAGCTCTCCTGGTTCTCAGTAATCTCTCCCAGCCCTACTTGGAGATGCCAGAATGAGGTCACCTTCTCAGAGGAAAAGCATGCCTGCGTTATCTGAGCTGGGTGCCAGATTCAGCAAGAACAGGGTGCCTGCTCTCTATCACTCAAGGCAGGGTTTGACCTGCATAAACATTCTTTACAGATTCTTCTTTTTTTGTGTTTTTAATAATATTTATTACTTTTACAACAATTTAAACACTACCAAAAAAAAACAAAGAAAAAACAATACATTACAATACAAAAACACTACATAACACTAAAACATTAAACTAACAAGACAAAACAAAAACAATTTAAAAACACATCAAAAAAAAGAAAAAAGATTCAATATCTTATCTTTCTTTCACATATTTCAACGACCTCCTCACACCTCCCTTTTTGTATTCCACTTCTATTAATTATTTCAGCAATTCCTTTCCATCCTCCCCTGTTTTCTATCCTATAATTATCTTAACACATACTAACCTTATTTTTTCCTTTAATGTTCTATTAATCTATTTATACTTAATTCCTTATAACCTTTCTACTAAAGCCATATAACTTCATTCCAACATTCTTCTAACATTCATTAATTTTACAATATTTCTGTAAATAGTCTTTAAACTTTTTCCAGTCTTCTTCTTCCGACTCTTCTCCCTGGTCTCGGATTCTGCCAGTCATTTCCGCCAATTCCATATACTCCATCAACTTCATCTGCCATTCTTCCTGGGTGGGTAAATCTTGTGTCTTCCAATATTTCGCGATGAGTATTCTTGCTGCTGCTGTTGTTGCATACATAAAAAAAAGTTCTATCCTTCTTTAATACCAATTGGCTGACCATGCCCAGGAGAAAGGCCTCTGGTTTCTTCAAGAAGGTATATTTAAATACCTTTTTTATTTCATTATAAATCATCTCCCAGAATGTCTTAATCCTTGGGCATGTCC